ATCTCCGGAGCTTTGGGGCACTTGCCTTCCCGGTGAGTCCTTCCCTTGAGAAGTCTTGGCCAGGCGGGGGGCTTGGCGAGCCTCTCCCTTCCTGGGGCGCGGAAGGCTGGGAGATGCAGCCGGGAGACGCCGAGCGGGGGGGATCCTCGTCCCTGGCCGGCGGTCCGCAGACGACCCAAAGACCGAGTTCTGGAGCGGCCGAGGCCGCGGCCGCCCTGCTCCCCGCCGGACCCCCGGCCATCCAGTCCAGGATGGAGAACTTCAGGAAGGTTAAGACCTCAGAGCAAGGCAGCCCCTTGCCCTTCTCAGACTTGCCCCCGCACGTGGTGGAGATGAGGGTGAAGGAAGGCAGCAAAATCCGGAACTTGATGGGCTTCGCCATGGCCAGGATGGAGCAGGAGGAGATCCGCCAGATCGTCTTCAGCGGCTGTGGACGGGCGGTCACCAAAACTATCACCTGCGTGGAGATCATGAAGCGGAAGCTGGGCGGTCTCCACCAGGTCACCAAGCTGCAATACCGGACCTTGGTGGAGGTCTGGGAGAACCAGGGACCCAGGCCAGAGGGTCCCCCTGAACACCTCACCGTCCACAAGAATGTACCCTCCATCTATATCCTGTTGTCCAAGGACTTGGTGGATCCCAACCAAATGGGCTACCAAGCCCCCAGCCCTCCTGCCAGCCTCTGGGCTGAGAGCAGGGCCTCCCCAAAGGGAACCAAGAGAAGATTGCTTGCACCCCACGAAGAGGACTAGCTCAACCAGACAGCCCAAAAGCAAGAATTCTGGGAGGATGCAGGTTGTGGATTTTGTGACTCAGTTGCGCGCCCATCCATCCCTTCCTGCCTTGGGCAAATGTGGAAAAAAAAAAATCCAAGCCATATGCCAGTCGCACAAGGACAATTGGCCAAGGTTGCACTTTACTTTTAGAGATGCTCTGCAAAGAAAAGGCAGGTTGCAAGAGAGGTGGTATCGCTGGTCGCATTGTCGCCATGTACAAGGGGAACTTAGCTTGATCCAACCATAATCTTTTCCCCAGTGCTGACTTGTCTGAGTGGTTTAGAGCCGCATGGAACTTATGCTACCTTGTCTTGGGTGGTGAACAAAGCCAAATTTAGGCGGACTTTGGATGTGAGATAGAGCTGGAATTGTGATGGAATGGAATGATGAAGGCCAGGCTCAGGGAGATAAGCATTTTCTTAGCTCACCACAGGAGCGTGGGAACTACAAGAGAATGAGGCTGGCACCTCCCTGAGGAATTCACACTGTTATGGCTGGCTGACTTGGGACCTGGGGTTTCAGTCTGGGGAGATTCTTGCTAGAGGTTGTAGCTAATAAACAAAGCTGAACTGATTTTGCATTGTCTCTTGGAGTTCCTCGGGCTAGGCCTGACATCAGTCAAGAAAATGCTTATCTCCCTGAGCCCGGCCTTCATGATTCCATCACAGGAATGGAGGGTAGAGTGGAGGGGGGAGAAGAGAGACTGTCTATTTTGTAGATGCACCCAGCTGAATGACAGGCTGGCTAAAGAGGGTGGCACCTGATGCCCCAAATGCTCAAGAGCCATAGGTGGTACATATGATAAGAGCTTATGCAAAGGAACACGTTTATATCGTATACCAGTAAGAAAGGAAAATATTTTGTAGAATGCCCAGAACGCTGTTACTTTTTGTCCTATGGAAAGTTGCATGAATACAAACCTGTCTGTCTAAAGTACTTGTTGGATGTCCCTTAAGAGGAAAAAAATGGGTATGTCCCCATTGACTCTTAACACAAGAGGAGATTCACACATTGTGGGAAATGGCAGGATTTTTGTTGGTTCGGGCTTAGAAGGTTGTGTAAACCTGGGCACTGTGGTTTGTAAAACATGGGTTCAGGTTTGGAATGTTGTGTGCACCCCACCAGTGGCAGTTGATTCAATAAAGTATGGTTGAACAAGCCATGGTTGAATGCAACCTATCAGCTCAGCTGTCAACTTTCTCTTTTGTTGAACCCATATCCTTGTCTGTGGGGGAGGATGATAAAGGGGGTGATAATCATGCCAGATATAGGGAAAACAATCAGACAGGTTCCCCACCCTCCTTTTCCATCATATACTTCCACCTTCTCCAGTTGGTGGGCTCCAGATGTGCCGGACTACCACACTGATCGTCACAGCTGGATCTGATTAGCGTTAGAACCCAACTCATCCAGATGCTCACGTTAGATAAGACTTCCCACCTCATGCTAAATTATAATGTGGTTTGTTTTTGTTTAAGCAGCTTGTACAACTCTTGTTGAGGTTAGTGGCCCCTGGGCCATGATTTAGTATATTGTGGAAATGGAGTTGATGTCAGCTCTTTGAGATGGTACCAATAGAGGTGAATTTGAGATGGATCAGGTTGGGAAATCACACAAAATACTAGAACTCCATTTTATAAATACAGGCTATAGTAACAGATTATTGAAAGCCTGATAGAGTTTCTCTTTCCTTTCCTCTTATAGCCAAGGCAAGTAGAGAGTAAGGAAGATAAACTTGACAGAAATATGCAGGAACCATTGCCTAGGCAAAAGGGGCTGAAACATTTTTTAAGTCCAGAAGATCCAGATAGAATTTGGAAGTGGCTCAGACAGACACCTCCCTGATTCACTGGAGTATAAGAAGGGTGGGGGGAGGAATAGCACAATGAGACTTGCAAGATTCTGCTATTAGGGCCAATCTCAATAAATGTAGTTCTGGTCTTCCCATGGAGTTAATTTCCTGGTCTCATCTCCCTGGTGGGGCTGAGAGCAGGCCAGTCTTGAGTTTCATCCTCACCCACTCCTGTTTTCCTATGCTGGGCTAATTTTTTTTAAACGGCCGGTGCGTACTTTCTTCAAAGCAATCTCTGTACTCCTCTACAGCCAATATTCAATATACTATGGCTTTCAAACCAAGGCTTAGTATGTGTGATGTAGCCCCATTGCTAACAGGGGTGGGGAATTTGTGGCCCTATAGATGTTCCTGGATTCTAATTCCCAGCCTCCCTTACCACTGGCCCTGTGGTCTGGAGCTCCTGAAAGTTGTAGTTTGGCACCCTGAGAGAACTGCGCATTCCTTACCCTTGTACCAGCCCAAGGTGAGTCTTTTCTTGTATACTTCTAGTTATTTTATCCTGGAAAAATGTCACCTTCTCATGGGCCAAGAGTGACCCTACCATGGTAGAGCTCTCCCTGACATCAATCTTCCTGAGATGTTGGATGCTCAACCATAGCTCAATGAGGGGCAAAGGCCCAAATGTCTCCTTGGGACTTAACAGCCCCCAAGTGGAGGCCGGGAACCTCCCCCAAACCACCAGTTTGCAGCCAGTTCTCCACTTGCAGTGATAGGGAGCTGACAAGCCTGCATTGAGATGTCTGGGTTAGCAGGAAGAATGGAAGCCCCGTTGAAGTCACCCCTTCATTACCAGCATGCAGCTGTCGGGGTTATTAATGGCCAGCTCCCAGGCTGCAGCCAAATGATTTGTTTTGAGTAAGACCCAGAAACAGACAGATGGACCTATTTTGCTCTTCTCTTCAGTGCGGTGCATCGGATCAGAAAGATGCAAGTCAGGGACCGGAAGCCATTAAATATTTGGAGGAGCCGTCGCTGCTTTTGCACTACTCCTAGGGTTCACCTCTGTGCCTACGTGGTTTGTTTTATGATGGAACGGATGGACAGGAGCTTTGCATCGGTGCAAAGAAGCCCCGGCTAGATTGTCAGAAAGTCTGATGCTATGCAAGCAATTGCTGCACGAACAGGAGCTGCCTCCGTTCAGAGCTGTGGGGCATAAAAGGTCAGATCCTGTGAAATCATTGATGGGGCAAGGCTGGGGGGTTGTTCAGCAATCTCCCCATTTCTTTTTCCTTTTTTTTTCTTTTTAACAAAACATTAAATGGGCACATAAGGCATCTTGGTCTATCGAATGAGCTATTTTGACTCATCCCCCCCCCCAAACATCAGGGGAGAATCACACGACCATTTTTCACAGATTGCTATTTAATTTTGGCAATACAATCCTAGGGACTGGGGGAGCAGGCCAGGGGCATCTCCCCTTGCCCTGAACCCAAAGATGAGAGAACTAGTTATTCCTTAGTGAACATCAGGTGTTTTTCTCCTTCCTGGCATGTGTATGGTGCTTTCGTTTAAAAAGCTTTCTAGGCTTCAAGCAAATATTATAAAAGTGACACAATACCAGGGCCAGAGGCTTCATAAAGTTGAGCATTTCAAAAGCAGGTGGAAAACCCATCAAGAGAGATCTTTCTTGGAGACAAATAATGCGTCAGCTGGATATAAGAAATATGTCTAGTTCACCACCATGGAGATGAGAAGAAATATACACTCTCTTTTTTTTTTATAATAACTTCATTATTTTTCAAAAGGATAATAAAACTAACAAAAACTTAATATTCAGAAAAAGAATAAGAGGAAAGAAAAGAAAATTGAAAAAAAAGAAAGTAAAGATCGAAAGTGCAGAAAAGAAAAGAAAAAGAAACAACCACGGAAAAAAAGAATTGACTTCTGACCCTCCTTGCAACAGATATAAGAAACAATATACGTCAAACTCTTACTCTAAATTTAAAACATAACTTCCATTGTTTCCATTAACCCATATTATTTCTATCATCAGATCCATACTGCATAATTTCATTCTTTTCTGTTTCCTGCAAAAAGTCCAAAAAAGTTTCCAGTTAGCATTAAAATTACACAATGTTTATCTCAAATCGAAGCAGTCAATTTCGCCATCTCAGCCAACTCCTTCAGCTTCACCAAAGTATTCACTCTCAAGAGAAGAGGCTGGCCTTTGAAGGATTCCAGTCACAGGCTGGGTCTGTACAAATAATGGGACTTGCTGGCTGTTGGCTTATGCTCATGAACAAACCCAGTCAACTGTAGTTTACTCTGTAGAACTTGTTTAAATAAAACCATGAATTAGAGTGTTCTGTAAACCTAAATCACAGAAGAATGTGCTAAACCCTAAAGTGTTTGGTGTAATCCCAGCCACTGTTGGGTTTAGTTGGCTTTAGAGAGTTGTGTGAACCCAAGCAATTATGGCTTATTCCAAAAAGCATGACTAAACAGGCCACTGCTTATAACCCTGGGTTAACCCAGCTGTAGTCCTCAGCCCCAAAGGTCACATCCGGCCTACTGTTGGGGTGAGCGATCCCACTGGCGCTCTCCATAGTGCTAGAAACAACGAGTCTAACTACTCTTTTTTGCTGGTGTGGTATTTGTGAAGGATGTTATGTGTTGGGATGAATCCTGTCTTAACACTTTTAGCAGATAATGACAATACTTTTTCCTGGATTGTACCTCTTCTATAGAAGCCGAGTTGCAAATTTAGAATCCTTAATCTACGTCTAAATCTGCCCAGCCTTCCTTCATGGTTTGGCATCAGAAGGTCTTTCTCTGTTACTTCCTGATCTTTTAAGGTAGGGTTGAACATTGGACCATCTACATTCAAAGCATATGTTGTCCCCCTAAGCCTCTGTCCTTCTCTGCTGCCTTTTCATCCCTCTCTTAACCCATACAAGATGTCCACATGACTCAGAAGGATGACTTCTGAGAACAAGCTAGCTTCTCATGTTTTGCCCAGGTGGGCAGCCAAGCATGAGATATCAAATTCAACCCTGCACCATGAAACATATTCCAGCTTGCCATCTTTGCAGGGCACTTGGCTCATCAAGTATCAGGGCAAGATTACTAGGTGGACTGATGCCAACCTTCCTTGGCCTTCAGCTACAAGGGATGTTCTCCT